ATTTTGAGTAAGATTGAGAGGTTCTATGGGCAGCTGTACACGTCATCGTTGGAGCCACACGCAAGTGTGAATAACGATCCAAGAGCGAGTCTTATCCGACACTATTCCGAAGATATCCCGGACGTCAGTATGAGCGAGACTAGAATGGCTCTCCAGCACCTTAAAATGGCAGAGCCCCAGGTGAGGATGGAATTACAGCGGAACTTTTGAAAGCGGGTGGAAAACTGGTACTTGAAGTCCTTCAGAAGCTCTTTAATTCCGTCCTCCATGGTGGCACTACTCCGGAGGCGTGGAGCAGAACTGCGGTGGTCTTGTTCTTCAAGAAAGGCGACAATGCTCTCTTGAAGAACTACAGATCGACTTCCCTTCTGAGCCGCGTCTACATGCTGTTTTCGAGAGGCATTACGAATCACGTAATACCCGAATACCCTTCGGCAAATTGTACAGAAGACAAAGGAGTATAATCTGCCACTTTGCCTTGCGTATGTGGACTATGAGAAAGCCTTTAATTCCGTCTAAATTTGGGCGGTGGTACAGTACCTTCAGCGGTGCCAAGTTGACTGTCGGTATATCGAAGTGCTGAAGTGTTTGTACAGTAGAGCTAAGATGGCTATCCGAGTACAGAATCAGAGTACGAAACCTATCCAACTGCGGAGGTGTAAGACAGGGTGACGTTATATCCCCGAAACTCTTCACCGCTAAATTGGAAGACGTTTTCAAGCTACTGGACTGGAAAGGATGCGGTATTAACATCAATGGCGAGTACATCACTCACCTTCGATTTGCCGACGATATAGTCCTTATAGCAGAATCGCTGGAGGACCTAAGCACTATGCTCAATGACCTCAATAGTGTCTCCCAACGGATAGGTCTTAAGATGAACATGGAAAAAACAAAAATCATGTTTAACGTTCATGTCACACCTATGCCGGTGGTTGTTGGGAGCACTAAGTTCGAAGTTGTTGACGAATATGTTTACTTGGGACAAATAGTCCGACTAGGTAAGTCCAACTTCAACTCGGCTGGGCAGCGTTCGGGAAACTACGACACATCTTCTCGTTGGACATACCTCAAAACCTGAAAATGAAATTGGACAACCAGTGCGTGTTGCCAGTGATGACTTACTGTTCAGATGAGACAGCGCCATCTATCTCAAACCATGTACAACAAAATAGCGACATCTAGATCGCCCGTACTGTAACTAGGAAGTAACCTAACCATTTGTATCGATCACAGAATGTGTTAGTTATAGAACCTAAGCAATTAGTTCCATTGTAATACCGCTGAGGGCGCTGTATGAGACTATAAATATGAAGAGCCTTGTCAAGGCTCGCCCATTTTTGATCGATTGCACAACAAAAAACATATATTCCAAGAGACCAGTCTTTGCTGTAACACTTACGGATCTGAGACGTGGTCCTTCACTGTTGGCCGTATGAAAAAGTTCAAGGCCGCTCAGCGAGCTATGGAGAGGGCTATGCTTGGGGTTTCTCTGCGTGGTAAATTTAAAATTAAGGATATCCGCAGTAGAACAAGAGTAACCAACATAGTCCAATTGATTAGTAAGCTGAAGTGGCAGTAGGCCGGCCATATTGCTCGAAGAACCGACAACCGATGGGGAAGAAAGGTTCTCGAGAGGCAGCCTCGTACCGGTAGGCGAAGTGTAGGGCGACCCCCTCACTAGATGGAGTGACGACCTGGTAAGACATGCAGGAAGTCGATGGATGCAGGTGGCTCAGGACCGTGCTTTGTGGCATTCCTTGGGGGAGGCCTATGTTCAGCATTAGACTTATGAAAGGCTGTTACTTTTTTTATCAAGAAACTTTTTTTATGAAAGTACTATTTATGGTTACTATTTATGGATAATATAAATAAATTAATGCTAGAAAATATACTTATATTCTCACCCAAAGCTCTAAAACTCATGTGCCAGGCATATGTGAAAATAACAAACCAAACGCAAGCTGCCATCATAAAATAATACACCTGGAAAAAAATATAAAGGTTAAACAGGATTTAAGAGATAAACCAACCATTGTAGTATATAATATAATGATGACATTAATTATAAAAAAAAATATAACAAAACAAAAATGTATGGCATGACATGGCATAGCTTACCAAGACAAACACCACAACGCAAGACAAATTCTCTTCCGCCGAAGGTTCACCTTGTCGCCTAGTTCCGTCTTTAGAGCAAACAATATCATCTCTAGACCCAACACCAAATTGTACCAGCCACCTATATAGAAAATAAATAATTTTAAATTAAACGTGATTAAATCCTATTTATAGAATATTTTTAATAGGACACAAGTCATTATGGAATGTCAAAAACAATTTTTGGGATCCTAGTTCACAAATTGGGGGAGGAGAATTGGTAACATAATTGTCCAAATCCAGTTACAATTTTTGATGGAATGTAAATATTAAGTGTTCTCACCCCATTGAAGCAACAGCAAAGCATACATTGATGTAGAAGATGACAAGAGCTGGATACTTATTAGCACTGCGCCAATCGATGAGAAAGGTTGCAACCGTTAACAGATTGAGAGCGAGGCAAACTCCCGCACCCCATGCAACTAACCGATGTATTTGTTGGTGCTCATCCTCAGTATATAACGGATCACGACAAGGAAGGCCACATCCAGAAATTCCTGCAACAATATTAAGACGAGACATAACAAAACGAAAATAAAATGATTGGTATCAGACTTTTATAAATTTAAATTAAGTACTTTCACACAATTTTGAGTAATATTTAAGTTTGTAATCACAATAATGCTTTATAAGAAATATATCAAACATTATTTTTGAAAAAGTCATACCTTCATAAAAATGCAGGCTTTTATCAGTGTGTATTAATGGTGGTAAACATTTTCCAGATGTATTAAACTTCATTTCCCTAGCTGCATTATCGCATTTGGATGGAAATAGTGTTGAATTACATTTTAAAAATGATGGGAAGTAGGATGTGTTATACAAGATAGCACAAGGCTCCATTGTTATTTTGCACATTTCATATGAAGGCAGGTACACCATATCCTGCCCAAGTATTCGTTCACATTTGGGCATAAATGCAGCACAGAGTAAGGGCTGTATGACAGCCCAACATTTAGGCACATTTATTAGTGCCCTGTAAAGTTCCAACTGATTTTGTATTTTATTTTGTGTATCATAAAAAGTGAGATGTACACTTGTTTTGTCGTATGGTAATTTAACACCCAAACACATATTTTTACCCAGTGGTTCACATCTCGCTCTCCTCACACAGCTATCAAGCTTTATTTCTCTTTCTGGAAACCATTGTGTACCTTTCTCTGGCTTTATTAGTCTATAATTGGGTGTACCATTAATAGCTTCTAAACGTTCTGTCAAGTTGTCATTCATGTCCATTATGGCATTTTTATCTCCTCCACTATCAAACTGGCTTGCATGGCATACTGCAATTGTAAACAGCCAGTATACCCATCCTTCCAACATCTGTAACAAAAAAATATAAATGAAACACCTACACATAAGCCATTGCTTCAAGGGCAAAAAAAATAAATAAAAAAATTTAAATGAAAACTACACTTCATTTCTCAATTTTCCTTTATTTAAGTAGGTAAGAAGGCAATATCAAATGAAACCCTTTAAAATTTTATAAATTTATTGTTCTCAACAAATTGTGCTAAATATATATATTAAATATCATATACCAGAGCACTATAAACATTTATTACAAAAACCAGCATCTAGTTTGTGTTAATAGTCCAAGGTAAGTGGTAAGGAATGGGTAAATTAAGTCAGTACAAAAATTATTTACTTTTGATATTAAGTACATTATTATATTTTTAAATAGAATTACTAATATTAAAATCATGTATCAACTAAATTTTATTGCTTATTTTGCCTTGTATCAATATAAATGAAATAAAAATTTATAAAACCTTTAAGGAAGGTAGGTATATATCTACCTAGTATAAAACAAAGTCATTTCCCACAGTCTGTATGCTTAATCTTTTAAACTATGCAACGGATTTTGATGCAGTTTTCATCAAGAGACAGAATAATTCAAGAGGTTTCTATGTGTATAATACATGCATATTATATAATTCTTCTAGCTGTGTGTATGTGACTGAACTCCTCCTAAATGGCTGGACCAATTTTTATGAAATTTTGTGTGATTAAGTTGATTAGAGAATGGTTTGGATTCACAATTGGACCTGGAAGGTGTTGTTGTTGTTGTCTAGATCCAGAAATCAACCGTGCCAAGCCAGGGCAGAACACTAGTATAATAGATATATTTTAAAAGAAAAATGATTGAAATTATGAAATATTTTAAGCACTTTTGATCTTTAAACCTTAAATTTATCTAAAACATAATATTGCACAATTTTGTACTGACTATTATTAAAAAACTTGGATAGGATATCACCTTGGACACAGGTATTTTTATTCTTTATTATGAAATTTATTTATTCCCACATAAATTAAATAAAGTACAAATGGTAATTAGGGTATTTTCGGTTACTTTTATTTCTTTATTAATAACATAATACAAAAAATACCGGGCTCTTACTATAAAAACGAAGCGAAACGACGATGCCTGGCTGCCTTTATACTGCAAACAACTCACTGGCTTGTGCTGCTGTTGCTTCTTTCTTCAAGTTTTTACATGTGATGATCCATCTTCCATGTCCAAAAATTACCTGACATGTGAATAAAGGTGTTTAATAAAATAAATCAAAATTTGAAATGAACAAACAATTGCAACTGATAAACTTACCCAAATCTCACATTGCAAGGAGAACACCTGAATGTAAATCTAAAAATATTTTTTGTGACATAATATAAATTTATTATGTTTTTAGCTTATGAAAATAAAATACAAGCTGTAAGAAATAATTATGTACAACCTTTTTAATCGCCATCACTAAATTTTTTACACTAAAATGCTTACATTCGGTTTTCATCAAAAATTTAAAGTCTGTGCATGCATTTACAGCAAACATGTGCTAGTTAGAAATTGATTTACTGCCTCTTCTAAATGTTCTGTGAGAACCGCTTCCTCTTCTGTTCCAAGATGATCCACGAGAATTATTATTGCGACGGTTACTACGCATTCCATGGCCATTCATACCACGACCCCTACCTCTATCTTGACTTCTACCACGGTCATGATTTCTACCACGATCTTGTGCCCTCCCTCTATCTTGACCTCTTCCTCTATAATTTCCACTCCACCTTTGATTCCTATTGAAACTCTCATTTACATCATCTTCTTCATTATAACTTTCATCGTCATAACTCTGGTCAAATGGTTCATCTTCATTATATTCTTCATTATCCTGTGAAAAGGATTGATTTTCATAACTAGAATCATATGAACTCTTAGTAAAGCCATTATCTGGGAATGGAGGTTGGGGTGGTATATTGCCCATCGGAGGCATATTGGCCAGTGGAGGCATATTACCCATAGGAGGCATAGCACCCATTGGCGGCATACCAGCTAAATGTGGTGGTGGCATATTCATAGGCCCCATATGATTCATTGGAGGACCCATTTGTGGTCTCATAGGGCCCATATTCATAGGCATTGGAGGTCTCAAAAGCCCCATCTGAGGCAAATTGTTTATTGGTCCCATGTTGTTAATTTCAGATCCATTATCATAGTTATTGTAGTTCTCTTGATCATTTTGTTCACTAGTATCCATTTCATTTTCAAAATATTCATCTCGTTCATAATCTTCTTTTTCTTTATTTTCCTCATCAGAAACTTCCGGCTCATTATCTGGTGCAGGATATTCAAATGGTAGGAAATTCTCTTCATCCGCATCATGTTCTAAATGAGGCATCATGTCATGTAGTTCCTCTATTTCACCAGTGGCAATATATTTTTTTAATGCTATAGGACCATCTAAAATTGCTTTTTCAAGTTTAGAGCCAGGTTCAACAGGTATTAATTTTCCATAAATGTATATAGCAGATGGGGTCAATTGTTGAAGTGGTACAGCACCTGGAACAGATTCTACTAAAGCTTGAGTTAAAGCCTCAGTAGCAGAATCATCTACAGTTGGACCGTGATTCCATTGAGCTTGGAAGTTTCTGGGTATAGGTTTACTATATGGTACTTTCTTGACTTTCTTTTCAAACTCCATTGGTACAAAGGTTGTGTCTAAATCTAGCCCAGGTATAACCTTATCTGTATCAGAAGAAAATATTTCTACTTTATCTTCAGGACCCATACCAGGTATTACAGCTGGTTCTTCTAAATCATGATCATCTTGTACTCCAGGAGGCAGAGTATTTAAATTATATTTGTCTCTCATTTGATCTCCTGGGCGGTTACGAGTCCAAAATTTAGATGTGTGATCATTGGAACCAGAACATAATATATGACCCAAAGGATGCCAGGCCATTGTCCAAACAATTGATTCATGAGCACCTTCTATACATCCCACTTCTTTATCAGTACCAACATTCCAGAATAGAATTGCACCATCTGAACCTCCAGAACAAAACAAACCTTCATGATTTGGGTGCCATGCTACACTGGAAGCCTCTTTTTTATGTCCCCTAAATACTTGAAGTTCAGTTCCAAGTTTTCGTATATCAAATAGTTTAAGCAAATGATCCCGTGAGGCAGTTATCAGCCAATTACCATTATCATTCCATTTTAAATCCATTACTGTAGATTTATGAGCATGTAAAGTTGACAAAGCAGTTCCTGACTTAGGATCCCATAACTTTATTGGTTGTTGATTGTCTTTACTCCCTGATACAATGAGAGCTTTTGTTGGATGCCATTGAACACATTTTACATCTGCACCATGACCTCTTAAAATTCTTTCTTCTTGACATCTATAGAAATCAAATATACGAAGAGTACCATCATCTGAACAAGTAACAATCTTGGAATCACTAGGACTAAAACTAATTCCTCTCACAGCTTCTTTATGAGCTTGATACATTTTAACATTGTTCATATTGCTTTGCCAGTATTTAATGAATCCAGAATGGTCACCAGTTACCATCCAACCTTCTCCATGTGACCATACCATTGATCTAACTGGTGAATCATGAGCTTGTAGAATGGTTTCAAAATTAAATGTAAGACCATTCCATAATGTGAATTCTCCTGATGATGCCCCTGTGATTAACCTTCGTCCTTCTGGTGTCCATGCTACAGCGAAAATAGGGCATCTCATTTTATTAGTAGCAGTTTTAACAAATCGTGTTGTGACGGCGTTAATTGGATTATCAGGGTATGAAGGTGGTGGTAAAAGGTCTGGAGTATACATGGCATCAGGTTGAAGGGCGTGCCTATCTCGCCAGTCCCTTTGCCAAACGCGACATTCTAAAGCTTTAATAATGGCGGCATTATAATCTACTGTTTTACGCATAACAGATTTACGTAAACGTTTACCATCAAAGTCATCTTGAGTCATGTTCAGGGGACCTTGAGGTGGGAAGCGCATCTGATAGTTGAAAGGTCTAAAATTATGACGGATGTTGTTACGACCTGGTGGACCCATAGGACCACCCATGCCAGGAGGGGGCATGCCCATATTCGGTGGAGGATGTCCAAATTCCATGTTAAGACTTCGATACCTAATTAGAGAAACATTAATGTTACTACATCATTGTTTTGAAAAGTTACCAGAGCGTGCTACATTTTTGAAGCCTTACTATACACTTACCTTGCTTTATTAAAGAATACGGGTTGTCATTATACTTAAATGCACTGGAACAACACTGCACAAATGTATGTTAGATGTTCACTTAATTATATGGTTATACAGAAGAGACTAAAATAATAACACAAATTATAATAACCTAATTAATAGTACAGGGGAAAACCGCTTGGTAGCGAAAGCTATAACAGCCAACAAACCAAGCCAGCCATGATTGTTTACCATAGATTAGATTCTTATTCTTATATATTGTTATTGTTGTTACGATTCGCTAATAAATACCGACAAAGGTTTATTGGTCCATACAGCCTAGATTTGTATTTGGTTCATAAAACTCTCTGAGAGATTTTGACGATATAATTAAGCGAGCGGACAAATGATAACGATAATAATATCTAGAGGAGCCTAAGTGGATAAAAAATCTGAGACTTACAGTAGAAGCACTTGTCACAAAGTTTCTACTTATCTCTTATCTCTTACTGAAAGAGATAAGTTTCTACTTATCTCTTTCAGTTCGGTGCAAAAAGACAGTGCCAGGACTGAAAATCAAAATTTATCAATAAGCCAAACAAATCATCATAATATTATGTTATTAATTTGCTGTCAGATACTTGTAAAAGTATCTGATGTTTTTGTTTAGGCTAAAATCAGGGTTTATTACCATGGGACAATATGTCCCACCCGTTAACCACAACTTTATTTGCTTGTTTTATCATTTTATAATTTATATAAAATAACTTTAAATAAATGACGAAGATATATTTTATTATGGTAGAATGATACTAGGAAATATTTTAAAATAAATAATCGCAGAAAAAAAGATAAATAAAAAAATACATTGATTAAATTATTTTAAATAAAACTAAGTGAAGTGACCAATCATCAATTAATTTAAGCATTATTCTTCACTTTGTTAAGATAATCTAATTTCGTCGTCTTTTATACATTTTATTGCAACCAATCTAATTGTAAGATAAGCATATTATACAGGGTTATTGTGCTATAACCAGCATAATTTGCAGAGAAAGTTCAGAATAAGTAATTTAGGTAAACGGTGAAGAAAAATTAATTGATAAAAAAATCTCAAACATTCTGGCTTTTTTATCTGTTAAGTTTCAGTTAAGTCAAATGATTTTTCTGCGCACGCACACATTCGTAAGGGTCAATCGTTAGGCAAAAATGTTGTTGCCCATAAATCATATTCAATTTGGGATAATTTCAAATAAAAGTAGAAACCTTATTTACTCGTATTTTCAAAAACTTCAATAACGGTTTATCATTATTTGTATATTAGTTATTTGAGTTTAAAATTTGGCTACTCTTTTAAAAATAACCCTGTATAGTGGTGGTCATAGAAAAAGGTATTTTAAATCATATAAAAATATAATCAAAAAATATATATTATTATAGATTTTATAAAAAGTAAACGAGAAATATTGATTTCTATTTATGAAAATGCATTATAAATTTTATATTTCTAGAAGAAAGAGTTCATCATAAACAGTTCCTGCTTCTCCTTGAAATAATTTCAAGCAAACTGCTATATCTCAATCTCATCAATATGCTCTTTCTAATTGAGGCCACTGCTCTAATTACTCCTGTGACATACGTTCTTCCTTTACTGTTATTATTTAACTTTGGTATTTATGTTATTGTTACAGGCGCATCAATTAAGAACTTCTAGTTGATGTTTTTATGTAATAGGTATAATGTAAAAGCAGTTATAAACTCGTATCTAAAGGGAAACAAATAAGCTTAACGACTAGAAGCACTTATTTTCCTGCTAAAGAAAGCTGAATAACATTTTGTGACCGAATTCTATTAAAAACAATTAAAAGTCCATAATTGTTTCATCAAGTAAGCATATTAGAACTGTTTAGGCCAAATCTTAACATTTAAAACTTGCATTCAAAACGTTCGTCACGCTTTCACGCGTCAACGCTTTGCCACGCCCTCTGTCGGGCGACGCTCGGCGCTCGCCTGCCGGCCACCGTGCCCCTGGTTTTGAAGGGGGTCCCTCCCCCGACCAGTCGGGTGGTCGTTCCCTCAGGGGCGGGGGGTCGTCGCCCCCCCTCAGCGTGTTGAGAGGAACTTCACGGCCACTCAGCGGTCAGCTAGACCCTTCTCACCCCCGTTAGCTGAGTGGCCGCGACTGGAGTACCACCCTCCCCCCTTTGGTCTGTACCGGTACTACGGGGTTCCTGCGACCTCGAATCTATCCCGGGCCTCAAGGCCGAGGTTCCCCGAAGCTCCCCAGGTCGGCCCGTTCGGTGATTTCGAAAAACGGGTCATTGAGATGCCGCCGGAATGCCGCTTTCAGGACCCCCGGTTTGAGTGCCGGTACGATGGAGGCAACTACAGCTAGGTAGCTGCCGCCCTAGCTCCCACCACGGCCGCCTCCACTGATCCTTTGAGCCGTCAACAGTCCACTTGTCAAACTGTTCTATTGCCGACAGCCTCAGTGAAGGTGTACAACCCGAGTGGCGACTGTTTAACAGTTCGCGCTCTATTAGATTCGGGTTCACAAAGCTGTGTTGCCTCCACTTGGTTGGTGGGAAGACTAGGGCTCCGCTGGAGCTCTGAATCACGTCCAATGTTAGGTATCGGAGGTGCCGAGCCTCCTGCTCCTAGGGGACAAGCGGAGTTGGTGTTTGGCCCTGCCAGCGAACACCTTCACATTCTAGTTAAAGTAAATGTCCTCGATGACATTGTAGGTTTCCTTCCTAACTTCCGTATAAATGACAGCGCGGTTCGTTGTGCGTCGGGTTTGAGACCGGCAGACCCTCAGTGGTCCCAACCTGGGCCTATAGATTTGTTGCTGGGGGCCGACGCGCTGGGGTTCATCTTGTTCGGCGAGATACAACCCGATGGCTTGTCAGCCATGTCCACTGTATTTGGGCACAGCTTCTTTGGACCGGTTCTGTGGACTCCACTTCCTCAGACAGCCGACCCGCTCTCTGTTGTGGGCGTGTCCCTTTCGGACGTCGTCCAGCGGTTCTAGGAAAATGAGGAGCCACCACACGCGGCTCGAGTCAACCCTCTGGACCGTGAGTGCGAGTTGTTCTACCAGAACAATACCGGCCATCGTGTCGACGGTCGTTTTGTCACTCACTTACCCTTTCTTGACTCACGGCCCCCTTTAGGCCAATCTCGTACCCTGGCCGAAAAGAGGTTGCTTTCCATGAAGCGCCGTATGCGGCGCGACCCAGCCTTTCGCGACAAACATGTCGAGTTCTTGCGCGAGTATCAAGAGCTGGGTCACATATCACCGTCCAACTTCGCATGCGGTCACAGGAGCACTACTTCCTCCCTCACCATGCGGTCTTGAGAACCCCTGGGAGTAAGATTCGGGTAGTTTTTGACGGCTCCGCCCCCTTGTCAAATGGTGTGTCCCTGAACCAGTGTCTCCAATCTGGTCCTAAATTGATCAAGGACATATCCGACATTTTGACCCACTTCCGTCGGCACCAAGTGGTTTTTGTAGCCGACATTCGGATGGTGTTTCGACAATCAGTGATCCATCGTGATTACCGTCGATATCAGTTGATATTGTGGCGCGAGAAGCCCAGCGATCCGATACAGGTGTTTGAGTTGAACACCACCACCTATGGACTCCAGTCCAGCCCGTATATCGCCACGCGAACCCTCCTTGAACTCGCTGAGAGAGAGCGTCTAAAATACGCTCGGGGGGCTTCTATTTTGGAGACTTCGGTCTACATGGACGACATTTGCACGGGCGCTTGTATTGCGAGACGAATTGATTGCCATCCTGAAATCTGGAGGTTATGAGTTCCGCAAATGGTTGTCAAACTCCCCTCATATTTTGAAGGACCTCCCAGGAGAGGATCAACAAGACCCTCATCTATTCGAGCACCCTGAAAATCCTAATTTGTTGAGTGTGCTGGGCATTCAATATCAGCCTGTTCAGGATACTTTCACGGACCGAGTCAAACTCGATCCTAAAGCATGGACCAAGCGCTCCGTGATGTCTACAGTAGCCCGCACCTTCGATTCTAATGGATGGATCACTCCGGTCATTTTTTTGGCTAAGTGCTTTCTTCAAAAGCTCTGGATATCCGGGTTGGGTGGGGACGAGTCTATTAGCGGGGCTCTCTTGCGAGGGTGGCTCTCCATTGTGTCCTTCCTTCCGGACATCAACCGGGTCTCCATGCCAAGGTGCTTCCTCCCTCCATGGAAATGCAGGGCTACCCTACATGGATTTTGCGACGCGTCTGAGAAAGGCTATGCTGCTGTCGTATATTTGCGAACTGTGAGCTCTTCTGGCCATACTTCCGTCCATCTCGTACTTGCTAAAAGCAAGGTTGCTCCCATTACGTCCTACTTAACTATCCCTAAATTGGAACTGTCCGGAGCCGCTCTTCTCACGCGAGTCCTCAACCACGCTCACTCGTCTTTGAAGTCTGTAATCGACATTACGGACGTCTACGCTTGGTCGGATAGTGAGATAGTACTTTGTTGGCTCAGAGCTGCACCTCACAATCTTGAGGTCTTTGTGGCGAACCGCGTGTCTCAAATCCAGAATTCTGGGACGTCTCTAAACTGGAGACATATCCCAGGGGAGTTGAATCCCGCAGACTGCGGTTCTCGCGACCGTGAAGCCCCCTCTTTGGTTGATCACCCGCTGTGGTGGGGTCCCAGTTGGTTGACTGAGTTTCAGTCATTCTGGCCCCAGGATAAATACTCCGAACCGATTGAATTGCCTGGCCTACGAGCCCGAGTAGGAGTGGGTAATGATAAGCCCACTCGGCATTTCTCCCTGCTAGAACGGTACAGCTTTCTCGATTAGCTCTTAGGAGTGACTGCTTGGTTGCGTCGATTTGTCCGCAACTCGAGAGACCCGTCCAACCGAATCTCTGATTCCGTTTTGTCCTCTAGCGAGC